GTGCAATGGACAGCCTCATCCACCCAGACAGTGTATTAAAACTTGATTCATGTGCATTTTGATAATTTCACAATCTTAAAAATTTATAACAAGACTTGGAATTTACATCTGCTGCAGGTCTTCAGTGTTCCAGTACAGTATGCCATTAAACAAACCTCTTCACATGTCTCCGTTCACTTCTCAAACCCTAACCCCAAACAGATTTGGGGGTGGGGGGGGTTGGGGGGTGTAAAGCATACTTTAAGCGAAGTATGTGGCTCAAGGTGAGAGATTACTTGTTAAGGTTTCTGGTGCCCAAATAAGTCTTCAGTTTGACCAAGAATCTCAAACTTCTAATCACCCAACGTGCTCCTGGCTAGCTCAGATCACGCCAACATTACTGCCCAGAATGGCATGCAGTCTGGTCAGGAAACACTGACCTACACCTCCTCCCGCTTCCTGCTCTGCTGCACTCATTCCTGAACTGCAAGACCTATTCTCAAGCTAGGAAGGCTTCCCTCATTATGTTTCACTCCTGTCTCAACTGCATTTGGCAAAGGAACTCATTCCAGACAAACCCAGGCACTGCCGTCATGCAGTCTCAGCTGCCAATACAGAGTATTTGTCTGAACCATTTCTAGTGACCCAGAAGTAGGTAACTGCCAGACTATTTCACTAGGTGGAAGGGAACACAGCAGTGACCTCGTTAAGGGCCAAGTACTACTGCAACGTTCAACTGAAATTACTAAGAACAGAAGTGTTACATCACTGGCTATTCCCTGCCTTTCCAAGTGAGCATCACAAACATACTCCCAAGGTGGACAAAAGCTGGCTGGAACAAGGAATGTAATTGCCAGTATCTTCAAATTTAAAGTACACACACAGATAGATTTGTTATCAGACACCAAGCAAGATTCGTGAAACAACTTCAGGGTGTTGGTGAGGTTTTGCTCCTGTTGCTTTGAATTGTTAAGACAGTTCAGTGAACCCCTCCCTACCTGAGCAAACACCACTCCGTCCACAACAGTTCAATTTAGACCTGATTAGAGGAGGCTTGAGCAGCACCCGGAGTGGAGCCTCTGGCATCCACTGCCCTTTCTATCAATGGCGATCTGGTTCCACCTAGGGATTGGCAAATTCACAGGGCATTTCACAATTCCAATGCCTCATTCAGGCTATTTCATCACACAATATGCTGTTAAAAGAACTTACTCCAAGTCAAAGCAAGGCCTTAATGTGGAACAGAACAAGCACTATCTGAATAAAAAGGTATTCAAAGAAACAAGACTATCCCCCACCCATTCCCCATTTGGTGGATCCAAGTTTGGTTGAATTGAATCTGTAGTCACTTCATCCTACAACTAAAAACTTAAATGATAAATCAAAGCCCCACACAGATGATCCACACACATCAGTTCAGACAGCGGCTTGTTCTGGGCAGTCTGATATAGCCACAGCCTACAGAGTATTCCTCAGGGTGGGGCACAGACAGGCGAATTAAGGTCACTTGACTCTTCATTTTCTACAGCAGATCAGAACCCAGACGGCTGACTTCTGAAGGCTTGCTGACAGGAATCCAGTAGAGTTGGTTTCAAGGTTCACACCGACACTAGTAGCTGTAACCTTATGCAGAAGTTGTGATCCACATGAAATCCACAATTAAGTGCAGCAAATCTGAGGTAGTCAACCTTGCGAAGGCTCAGTATCTGAACATAATGATGTTTGAAATGACCACTGGCTGCAGGTTTGGTTTTATATGCAGAGCAACTATGGAAACACTGCTGAATCTAATTCACACATATTTAAGACAATGAAAACACCCTAAATCCAACACACATCAAGATCAGTTGTGACTCTTGAGCTTCCATAGTGCAACAGGGACAGTCACTGGAATCGAGGTCTTTCAGTCAGTCACTGTAAATCCAGAAATCAGACGCTGAATGGCTGTTCTTGGTGGTTAGCTGTGGTCTAGTTATCTTGGAAGGCTTAGCAAAGACCATTGTTTAACTGTACTGTGTGTGGCTGTACTTCTGATGTTCAAGCACAGCATACTGGTTGTCTAGCTGAAGTTTAAGGGCCTGGTTTTTTGAAACCTCCTCCCTACCTCTATTTTTGTGTCTTACTACTTCAAAGCTCTTCTCCATTTCTTTATCCCTAAGGGAAAAGAAATGTAATCAGTAAATATTTCTTCTTCACTGGGGAATTTTGAAAGTATTCTTCCTTGAATTAGAAAAAAAAAAAAAGACCCCTAAGAATAATCCTGGACAGGAAGGGAATACAAAATCCTTTATCAAACCATTTTAAGGCTTCAATTGAACAGAAAACATGTAATACTGTACTGAAGCTCTGAGGTCCCATCTTCTGAACAGAGTATTTTGGGACCAACTTGAAGACAACCAGAAAGAAGCTGTATAATGACATTCCTCCTAAGACTCACTTCTAAGTTTTAGCAGTTAGTAGATAATACATCTTTATGCATAAGGGTAACAATTTTCTCATTCAAGTAATGTTCTCATCATTCAACAATTTCTCCTCCCTTTTGCTTTGGGGGAGTGGTCTGATTAGATCAGGTAAAGAAAGATGTGTGTGGCACGTCACTGTCCTCTCAGAGTCTCCCACACATCTGAGGACAGAGGAGAGAAGCAAGTCCAATTGAAGGTCTAAATTCAAGCCAGCTGTGCTCTCAATGAGGCGAAAAGGCTGGGATTTACTTTAAAGCCACCCAAAAATGTTTCCATCTGATGCCATTTACATTTCTTCCCATTTTATTTACTTTTGAAAATTCATGTCCCTAAATAAGATGTAGATGTGCCATATGTGGTCATTTAACTTCAGGTAGCATTCATTTTAAGTACCTGCTGAAATAAGATTATTTTTAGTATTAGATCTGTAAATGCCAACATCTTGCATCTACTTCCATTTATTGGGAATGCAATGACAAATGCTTTTACATTTCTAGTTTCCATATTTAAAAGGAACATAAGCCAGTAATAAAGTACTTATGAGAACTAACTAAATGCAGCTGTGACAGAAACAAAACAGCCTGTCTTTAGCAGCTGTTTTCTTGCCCTTTCCAAGAAGGACCCCCCACCCCCACCCTCTCCCTTCCCTCCTGGGCACCCAAGTCCCACCTGGTTCCCAGCTGACTGTCAGAGAACCTGACTCATAACTCCACATACTTACTTCCGGCTCTCTACGTGCTTGGCAGTGGACTGCAGGGATGGGAACTGTGTGTCACTGTATATTTCTGGTGGTCCTTGTGGCGTTTTCCTTGTTGTGGTTAGCCTGGCCCCAGGAGGCCTATATACACCACTAGGCATTGCTGGCTCCGGGGTTTCTGTAACTAACAGATACACCATTCATTCAAATGTTTGACCTTCTAGTAACATCTTCCAGCACTCCTGACCATTTAACAATTCTGAGAAAAGCAACCCCTGATTTAGAAGGAATTTGGACTAGACAACAAAACAAACTTCTCTGAGAAAACATCTCAAAGTAGAAAGCTGCTTGTCTCTAAGGCAGCAAGTGCTCTAACCTCTCTGGGAATAATTTTAACATGTCATGTAAGCCCAGTCTGAGTGTTATAGGCTTGAGGGAGGGAGTCACCTGGCTCGGGAGGTGAGACAAGTCCTCAAGGGGTTACCTTTTGGAATACAATCCTGTGGCGTAAATGAGACATTCACTTTCTTTACTTGGAAAGTGGTATGAATAAGTTATCTTATATAAAGAATTTATTTAATAAAATGTACATGTAGTATTTTAAATTCTAAAGATGATAAAAAAATAGGCAATCCTTATCTTTACTTCATTTTCTATGATCATTGGATGTTCAGTTTTTCTATTAGGTTAGAAAACAGGGAAAAGCCCCCAAATAGCTTAGAATCTTCTACTAAGACTTAATTGAAGGGGTCACAATCTTCCAGGTTTTTCCTATATTCTCCAACTGATCCTCGATATAGTTACAAGTAGTGTTACCTTTCATTTTTCAGAAACTTTCAGAAGTTTGATAGCCTACACCATGAAAATACAATAAGCATCCCCATAATCATCTACTAGCTGAAATACAATATTTCTTACAGGCTTAGATTATAGCAGAGGGAAAGCTTACGTGCTTATTTGATGAGTATCTATCTAAACTGCACTTGGGACACCAACACTCAACAAAAATCGCTGCAAGTGGTGGAATATGCTTGAAACATTGGGACTTGGGAGGTTGAGAGAGGAGGATCCTGAGTTCAAAGCCAGCCTGAACAACTCAGACCTATCTTCAAAGAAACAGAAAAAAACCTCAAATATCTATGACCCTTATATTGCAGTCATTAGCCACATGTAGCTTTAAAAGAAATATATTATTTGTGTCTGTGAGTGGTGTGACTTGTGGAAGCAAATACCAAAGCATTAAGTGTGGAGGTCAGAATTAGTTCTCCAACAGTGGATTCTGGCCGTTTAACTCTGGCTGAGCTATCTCCGGATTACTGCAAATCTATTTGCTCATTCTTTCATTTTTGAAAGTTTCCACTTTGTAGCCCTGGCTGCCTCAACTCAAAGACTCCTTCTGAGCCGGGCGGTGGTGGCGCACACCTTTAATCCCAGCACTCGGGAGGCAGAGCCAGGTGGATCTCTGTGAGTTCGAGGCCAGCCTGGGCTACCAAGTGAGTTCCAG